CCAAAATCCAGCTGAGCCAACCCAATACACGTAGTTAAGTATTCCTTGAAGTACAGTAGTTAAGTATTCCTCGAAATAAAGGTGTGTGCGAGCAGGGACTGATTTCTTTAGGGAATTTCACTCGAAGACTGTAGAATCCGATACAGTTGGTGAAATAGCTCAGAAACTCGAGTGAGGCTTCAGGTTGATGCTTCCTGCGCTCAGGTTTTGTGTGTCCTCTGAAAGCGTCGTGGTGCTGTTGGAGAAGGAGCCAAGATATATGTTTAAAGACATCTAAAATCTAGAATTCTGCTGCTGGCTTCTGAAATACAAGCTCATTTTGGTAAATAATTAAACCGAATCGGGATTCTGTAGCTAAAAATTGGCAACGCACTCAGTTAATGATGATATTAGATAAGGCAGCCCCCTAGTAATTCTGTGAGAGGAGATCTGCCTTTGTTCTGAGGGGTGCTCTTTGGAGCCCTGCAGGTCCCCCGGTTGTTTCATAGTTGTTTTTCTCTGTCAACAGAAAACCAAGTAAAAATCAAAGAAGAAAAAGAGGAGGTGGAGGAACAGTCAACAGAATCAGAAAGCCTTCCGCTTCCTGGTGTCAAAGAAGACGAAAACACGCTGAAAACTGAGAAAATAGAAGAAAAAGAAATTATTAAATTGCCAGTAATAGTAAAATTAGAGAAACCTTCAGAATACAATGAAGAAAAGCAAGCTGTCAAAGAAGAAAGTGACTCTTTCAAAGAAAACGTCAAGCCTGTTAAAGTAGAGGCGAAGGAAAACAAAATAGAGCCAAAAGACTTGAAAGAAGTAAAAAGTTGTACAGACAAAATAGCAGTTCATGAGCCAGAGAGGTTAGAGTTTTGTGTTAATGTCAAAACTCCCCAGGAAATTGTGGAGAAATCTGTGGAGGAAAGCGAGAAACTGAAAAACGACCAGCAGGCCAAAATCCCGCTTAAAAAGCGCGAGATCAAGCTGACGGACGACTACGACAGCCCCATCAAGGGGCCGCTGTGTAAATGTGTTACTCCCACAAAGGAGGTCTTGAAGGAAGAAGGGAAACCAGAAGAAGAAGCTTTTAAGAGGGTCCCTACAATTACTGCTTTGTGTCCTGATGGGAAAGTGCTGGTCAACGGAGAGGTGAGCTGCGAAAAAATAACCGCGAGCATCATACCAAACAACAAGTCGGAGCACTCCAACAGCGCGAAGGAAGACGGGAGCTCGTTAAAAGAGAAAAATGGCAAAAGCGGGGAAAAGGTGTCAGACTCCCTCGGTTCTGTGAGTAAAATTATCAAAACGTGCGAGGCCGAGAAAAACGCAGCGACTGTGGGGAGAGAAACGGCGGCTGCGGCCTCCGGGGCTGCAGCCTCGGAGGTTTCTGATCAGAAAGTGCCTTTAAAGGAGGAATCTAGTCCTGGGGAGAAAGAGCCCCTCGACAGCACAACTACTGAAAGGGGAGCGGAAGAGTCTTCCGGCTCTGAAGACTGTGCCAAACCAACCGAAGGGAACCCCGCCACTAAAGTCGCAAAGGACCCAACGTCGCCGCCCAAAGAATGTTCAGAGAAGCTGGAGAAGTCCCCAAGTGCATCTGCTCCTGCAGAACCACCCAAGCTTGTGCCGTCCGGTGAAGAGACTTTGAAAAGTCAAGGTGAGTCGGAGGAGACGCCTGATTCTCCAAAAGCTGCTGAGGTGCCCCCTGCACCTACTTCTCCCGTCACTTCGGAGAAACCTCCTTTGCAAGAGGAGGGCTCTGGCAGTCAAGTGGCTCCGCCCGAGGAGAGCAAAGCAGAATCAAAACCCAGCCCTGAGAAACAAGAGGAGGAGGCAGAAGGTGCCAAGACAGAGCCAGATGGATTAGATGATGCTCCTGCTTCTCAGCTGGAGGACTCCTCGGAGAGTAAAAAAGAATCTCCAGCTTCGAAAAGCAAATTTAAGTATAAGCTAGTTTCTGAAGAAGAAAGCTGCGCAACAGACAATAAAGAAATCACTTCTGAAAGACAGAAAGAAGGGATTAAATTAACAATCAGGATCTCCAGTCGGAAGAGAAAGACGGAAACGCCGCCGGAAGAGGTGGGTGTGGGCCGCACGTTACGGCGGTCGCCCAGAATCTCCAAGCCCACTCCAAAGGTTGTGGAGACTCGGGATCAGAAACCCGACAGAAAACGGCCTGAAGAGGAGGAGGAGAAACCAGCGGCGGCCCAAAAACCGGAGCGAAAAGAAGATGCAAAGAAACCAGAGAAGGAGTCGAATTCTAAGGTTAACAAGGTAACACGGCTCTATTTCCTGGGAATAACAACTCCCCGCAGCCCTCTCTGCGAGGAGAACGTGCACTCAGGTGGGAACATTGGCAGTTGAGCTTTTCCCATGCGTGGGATCTGCATTTTGCTTTGGGTAGAGGTATCTTTTTTTATAATGAACTTCTGCTTACGCAGCATAAACCTTAAAAATAGATCAGGTAAATACACCCCTCAAGGTTAGACATGCCTCTAAGTCTGTAATTACAAACACCTTTATCTTTTTTTCCTGGATATAAAGCATAAAAGAGAAACAAGAAATAAAGAGTCTACATTTTTAAGTGCACTCCCTTAATACCAACTCGAAATCCTGTTAGTTTTTCCACCATTAACACATTTTTCTGACTGATTTTATAGTTTTACCAAGACGCTCGCTTCCTTAGCTGCTTTCCCTTGCTGCTGTGCTGAGTAACCTTCCTGAAGTGAAGAGCTGGTTTTTCAGAGAACGATAACATCTGTACTGAAAAAAGTCATCTGCATAAAGAAATGAAAAAGAAATTGTCCAGTTAAAACCTTTCACTTAAATGTTTTCATTTAAAAAGAAATGAAAGCAATAGTGATTACGAGTCCTGCAAGTAGTTTTAAAGGCTCCAGGCCTTTTAACCTGATCTTTTCTTCTGAAGGAGATCTAAAGAGAGTTTTTAAAATAAATATGGTAGAGGAAGAAGTTTGAAACTGGTTAACTGCTGCCATTTAATCAAGAAGAAAAATACCCAGATTTTTAGTATTTCTATTTAATATTTGTTTCCTTCTGAAGAAGGGTCTTTAAAAATAAATTTGAAACTGTCGTGACATGTAATGCTGTCGTGGATTTAAAGTGTATTTGCAACTGAAGTTTTGTGAAGAGTAAAATGTGCAAAGAGGTAGAAATTAGTGTTAAGAATGTGAAACAAAATGTTTCCCATGTGACAAATCCTGCTGTGGTACAAGTCTGTACTGCAGAAGAAGTAGATTATTTTGTGTATTTTAGTTTATTCAGCTTGTTCAGGGCAATGAGTAGTTTAGTCAAAATTAGAGAAACATTTTGAGTTGAAAAAGCAAGTGAAGTTATTTTCCTTTTTCAGTGTCTTGGAGGGGGCAAGAATTGTGAGAGAAAAATGTCTGCGAGAAACCAGTCAGTTAATGAGAAGGAAACTTTCTTCTGCTTGGTGTGCTGCTTGAATTATAAAACATATCCCGGTTGCAGAAAGACTTAAATTTAAAATAACACTCTGATTTTTAAACGAAATCTATTCTGTAGAATTTGGCAAGCTTACCTCATCAAAACAAAAATAAAGGGGCTGAGGGACAAACTTGTCTTCTGAATTTAAATCTTCTTTGAAAGGGAGGTGTGAATTTTCCCTCCCTGGATTACCTTGTTGGGTTTTAAGGACGATCCGAGGCGTTGCGCGTTCGCTGCAGCCGCCGGGATGGGCAGGAATCGCCTCGCTGCGGGGCCGGACGGCTCTGAACGTCTGGGAGGAACCTCTGTGAGCTCCCTTTGTGTTTTCTCTTTGAAATGTGCGTCCCAGAGAAGCAAAGTTCGGTGGACGGGGACGCGGACGCGGGGCCGGTGGAAATACTCGAGTAACGAAGAGAGCGACGCCTCGGAGAGTGAAAAAAACTCAGAGGAGGAGGAGGAAGAGGAAGAAGAGGAGGAAGAGGAAGCTGCGCCCGCTGACGACGATGAGCCGTGCAAGAAGTGTGGCCTTCCCAACCACCCGGAGCTGGTAGGCTTGCGGGGAGGGCTCCTCTGGGCCTCCGCGTCGGCTTTGGGGGTAGCTGAGGGCAGTTTGTCCTCCGTAGGAGAACACGCCGAGTTTGCAGCGGTAAACTCGTGGCGGTAACTGCGTCTGCCTTTAGTAAGGAGGGAAGGAACCTGCCAGGAGGCTGGGGAGGGACTTTTGACAAGAGTGTCCAGCAACAGGACAAGGGAAATGGGTTTAAACTGAAGGAGAAGAGGTTTAGGCTGGATCTTGGGAAGAAATTGTTGAGTGCGAGGGTGGCCAGACTCTGGCACAGATTGCCCAGAGAGGCTGTGGCTGCCCCCTCCCTGGAGGTGTTCCAGGCCAGGTTGGATGAGCCTGGAGCAACCTGGGCTGGTTAAGGGGGGTTGGTTAGATGATCTCTGAGGTCCCTTCCAGCCCAGGGGTG